TCCTTGTTGCTGAGTAGGTTCCTTCACAGTTCTCGTCATGTTTCATGTGCGTCAAAATGTTCTTATGCTGCATCGCATTCCGGCAATCTGAGCGCTTCCAATACCTGGTCTGTCACCTCCTCCCCCTGGTGTTAAGGCACAGGCCGTGAATGCGTTTAAAAACTGGAACCTAGGATGAAATGGTGGGAATCCACCATCTGGCATCGGCAGTGCTTGAGAATGCTTAGTGGCAAAGCGTATAGGGTAGTGTGAAGACCTGCGATGTTCCAGGACAACGAGTTCTGGCCTATATACAAACGTTATGGAAGTCAGTTTCAATCAGCCGATTGAGTATGCTGAGATAAGCTTGCGGCGCGATCTGTCGACATCAGGACGGTCACACAAACGATTCCGATTCAAATGATCGCACGAGAGCAACGGCTGTGGGCACGTACCGTGAAATGAGGACCACTCGATCGACCTCAAGCAACCAGGCGGAGCATCAAAGAAAGGATGGAGGAAATTCACTGGAAAAGGGACTCCCTGATGCCAATGCCACAACAGAAAGTGCATTGGATCTGGACAAGGGGGGGGGGGAATTTGATAAGAAATTCGGACCCTGTGATAGCACGGCAATAACGCGAGGACGAAAAACCTCGCTCTGCACACGTCCCTGAAATGAAATTTCGGTTGGATGTTGCGATTCTAACACGTTCGCGGCGGTGTGTACTCCCGGGAGTACACGCGCCTAGTCGCTGGTTTTTTGTATTTTATTTTCTTTTCCCACTAACATTTGGACTTAAATAATAATCAAACAATAGATAAATGATATCCACACATTACAAGAGGCGTGTATCACCTATCACCTGTATCACCTGTGCTCCCGTTGATCATCGAGTTCCTCGAGCGGGCGCCAGTAACGTCTCCATTCGTCCCTGCAACGTGCAAGAGTTGCCCAATGAACTCTCTCAGCTCGAGGGACACGATGAACTTCATACCATTCGTTCAGAGCTTTCACGAAGAAATCTGACCATCGCGTAGGCGGTCTTCCAGGCGTTCGCTTGACATCCCGTGGAATCCAGTCGGTGACTGCTCTGGTCCAGCGGTCGTCCTCGAAACGCATGACGTGTCCGGCCCACCTGATCTTCGAAGCCTTGGCAAATGCGGCGGCGTCTCTGATCTTCGATCGTTGGCGGAGTGCGGAGCTCCGGATTCCCTCTCTCACTTGCGTGTGTGAGCCGCGGGAAACTCGAGCATCGCCCTTTCGATGGCGCGTTGAATAACACCGACCGCATGCTCATCCTGCTTTCGTAGAGTCCAAGTCTCTGAGGCGTACGTCAAGGCAGGAAGGACCGCGGAATCGAAGAGGTGGGCACGGAGCTTGGTGTTCTTCGTCTTCTTCGCTACTCCCTCGATGTTCTTGAAGGCTCCCCAAGCCGCTCGCTTCCTCCTGCTCAGCTCTGGAGCTAGGTCATTCATCATATTGATTTCACGACCTAGGTACACATAGCTAGAGCATTCAGAGATGGTCGTTCCGTGAGCATTCAGAGAGCGTGAATGGGGCATCAGATACCAATCCGTTTCTCATGAACATCGTCTTCGTTAGGTTCAGCCGTAGACCGATTCTTCCACACGCGCAGTCGAATTCAGCCAGCATTCGTTCCGCTTGCTCGATGTTTGGCGTTATCAAAACGATGTCGTCAGCAAAGCGGAGATGGTGTAGTTGCCGACCGTCGATCTTCACTCCCATGTCTTCCCATTCCAGTTGACGCATGACGTTCTCGAGAGAGGCGCTGAAGAGCTTGGGCGAGATGGTGTCGCCCTGTCGGACCCCTCTCTTCACATCAATGATGATCTCCTTGTAGAATGGTGAAATCTTGGTCGTGAAGTTGCTGTAGAGCTCACGAAGAATCCTGATGTACTGAGTAGGAATACCCTGGTTGCCCAGGGCTTCGATAACCGCTTCTGTCTCAACGGAGTCGAAGGCTTTCTTCAAGTCGATGAACGTGAGACATAACGGCATCTTGTACTCTCGCGATACTTCAATGTTTACCGTGTGGATGTGATCGATCGTGCTGAATCCTCTTCGAAACCCTGCTTGCTCGCATGGCTGTCCTTCGTCTAGTGTTCTGCCAATCCTGTTCAGGATGACTCGTGTGAAAAGTTTGTAGACTACAGACAGCAGCAGATTGGGCGATAATTGCCAATGTCGTACAGGTCTCCCTTCTTGTACAGCAACACAGTCTTGCTGGTTTTCCACGAGGTGGGTACCTTGCATTCCGACAGGTAGCGCGTGAAGAGTCGAGCCAGAGTTTTGACAAGAACTGGCGGAAGATTCTTCAGATGTTCGGGTCTGATCCTGTCGGGACCGGGTGCCGGCGATTCTTTCACCGAACGAGATGGCGTGTCGGACTTCGGAGGAGAGAACTGCAGGAACGACATATCCATCCTGCTCCAAGCGGTATGGTTGGCAGGTGCGGACGTGGCTGTCAAAGAGATCCGAGTAGAAGTCGTGGATGACCTTCTCCATTGCCCTTCTGGATGCGGTGATTGTTCCATCCGGACGTCGGAGGGCGGTCATCTTAGTCTTACAGTTGGCGAAGTCGCGGCGGGCGTTGCGTACGCTCTTCCCAGCCTCTGCGGCTTCCACCAGTACTGCTGCTCTTCTCTCCTTGAGGTCTTCCTTTATCGCTTCTCTGGCAGTAGGCTTTCGCAAGCTCAGACAGTCAGCTGGTAATTGCTGCCGGCTCTTCGTGCGGCTCCACGTTGGCGAATCAGCTCGAGAGTTTCCAGAGATAGACGCGCTTCTTGGTAATCTTGGAACCCTCTGACTTCTTGGCGCAGTCGTGAAGATGTGCAACAAGCCTTTCGTATTCCTCGTCGATGTTGTCAATGACAGAATCCTCCCAGAGCCCAGCGAGAGAAGTGAAGTGATCCCAGTTGATGGTGGTTTTGGGGCTTCGCTTCTTGAACTTTGCGGCTCTCTCTCTTCGCATCGAAAAGCGGAATCTTGCGCGAAGGAGACGATGGTCGGATCCCGTGTAGAACTTAGGGACAACAGCGACATCGGTCAGGCAAAACCTTCGATTGCAGATGATGTGGTCGATCTCGTTATGGAATTGTCCACCAGGAGACTCCCATGTCCAGCGTAGAGAGTAGGGCTTCTGGAACTGCGAGTTACCATGGATGGTGTGGGTCGACATGATAAACTCAGACAGCCTTTCACCCTGCTCATTCCACTCCGTTCCGTGAGTTCCGATGTGAAGTTCTTCAGCCGTTCTTCTTGGTCCGATCTTAGCGTTGAAATCACCGACGATGACCTTGAAGAAGGTATGATCTTCCTTGTAGAACTTCTCCAATTCCATATAGAACGCTTCGAGTTCATCCTCGTCGTAGCTTGATGTTGGTGCGTAGGCGACGAAGATTGTCAAAGCTGGAGTTGAACCACATCTTCTCAATCGCAAACGTCCGATTCGGGTCGTCAGACTTTCGTACGAATCGATGTTCATGGCCAAGTGCGTGTTGACGAGGACGCCCACACCGCCAACGCCTCTGCTGTCGCATGTTCCGAGGAACAGTTCTTCTCCAGTCTCGTACACGGCGTGTAGCGGGCGATGCCTCCTCGTCTCGGTCAGTCCGATGACGTCGTACTTGATCTTCCTGGCTTGCAACATCAGATCTTCGATTGGCTGGCCGATGCAAGCGTCCGTGCGTTGAAAGTACAGATCGTCATCCTAGTCCTGGGCGACTCAAATCTCCGTTGGGCCTGTGATTTTTGCAGCCTCGTCCGAGCGGTCCCAGCCGACGTCGCCCTGTCGGTGGTTCCCTCAGCTTCAGGGGAATGAGGCCCATAGTTGTTACTTGTTTTCGGCGAGAAGAAAATTAACCACGCGTAGCTCGCCAGGCTCTGACGTGGCACCCTCCGCATTGGTACGTTTTTGGAACAGTCCAAAACCGTTCACCCCCACGCCACGATGAGGCTGCGGATAGGATTTGTGGGGAAGGCGTGTATACCTGAAAAAATACTCAAAAACTTTCCTCTTTAGGCGAATCGTGCATTCTTGGGAGTACACGCGCCTCTTCGCTCGTTTTTTGATGTTTTTTTTCTTCTTTTCACTGGCAATTATGAACAAATCATAAAACAAATAATATACAAGTAATACTAAGAACATTTCTCGTGTATTTTTTGGAACCAGGTGAGGCAGTAGTGGTTTTTACAAGAGGAACTAAGAACTTTCACAAGAATCAAAGTCTACATCCCTTTGTGCGGTACCAGTGAAAGGGCAAGAAAGCTAGTTCATTTACCGAAACTTAGATAAAACTTGTAGAAGGGGAAAATGTAAAAAGAATGGCGAAAAACGGCTTTCGTGAATTTTTAGGCGTTTATGGTTCCGTCGCGAGCGCGCAACCATGAACGGGATGACTGCCTAAGTGTCGCCCGCCGCGAACGCGTCGCTCGACAAACGGGAGTTTTTGACGAAACGGCGCCGCCGCGAACGTGTTAAAAATGTAATCATGTTCTTACGGAGGTTCGGACAGGAGTAGCGCATCCTGAACAGTGTTTGAATAAAGTGCGCAAAGACGATCTCTTCCTCTCCAGACTATGAACGCCCTTCATTGCGTCCTTCTGCTGGTCTGCCCGAAAAATCAAGCGCCTCTTACAGCAAAAGTGGGAAGTCCGAACAAATGGCATAGAGGCTGAAACTTAGATTGGTCCATGATTGGAAATGATAAAAAAAAGGCAGATAGCTCTGAATCTCCACAGCAACATATGAGACCTTCGCAGACGATATTGATATGACTGATATAATGCGAGTATAAGGGCTTAGTGCAATTGAAATGGGTCTTTTTAAGGTACCAACAAATGGCATTCTGCATTCTCCCCTCGATTGCACTCCTATCTATGCAGCTGTTTGGCTTCTCGCGTGGTGACAGTCCAGACGCTGCTGTTGCCATTGGAACCAGATCTTAGTGGCAGAGTCAAGAAAACCTTTACTATAGAAGAATATGAGGGCTGGTCAATGTGGATGGAAGAGGAAATAGGATACAAGGTGGGTGGCCGTAGACCCGACTTTACGGTTGGAGCAACTGTTTCATCTACTTTTTCCCGTTCTCCTTCTTCACAAAGAACCTAATGTTAAGGTATTCGTTCAAAGAGCAACATGGGAGCAGGCAGAACAAATCTGTCAGGAACACTACGCACACTTGTCTTCCGTTATGTCGGAAGAAGAAAATAATGTAATATATGGTAAGAAACTGTTTGATATATCCCTGTCACCTGTGCTCCCGTTAATCTTCCAGCTGCTCGAACGAGCTGTGGAAGCGCCTCTACTCCCTGTAGCATGGATGTCCATCGCAGGACTTACCAAGAATGAGCCACAGTTTTTTTTATGAATGATGGATTTCCGCACGCGAATGGCAAGTCCTGCGAGCACTGCGGGTAGTGATGCCATGCTACGGATAGTTGCCGCCTTTCAGTGAAGGGAACATGAGAAATTAAACATGCATCGAGAGCGCCTCTATGAGAGACCCCTCCTTGGCAGCCGCACTGTCTCACTGTACTATATTCCGAATCGCTGGTAGGCCAACACCCCGCAGCCTTACCATGCATTCTTCTTCTTCTCTGTAGCGTTAGTCCTGCGTCGTCACAGGGTGCCGCCGTTCCGTGCAAATTTGCTATATACGTTCGTATGCCTGAGGTATTGCTCACATTCTGCGACCCTGACGAATCGGAAGAAACGGTTCCGCGCAAAGGTCTTGATACGTATCGATTGGCGGTACGGCATTCGCGTCTGCGCGAAAGCGCTTGCGCCATCTCCTTCCTCCCAGACTCGGTGAAATCGACACGCATGCAACCTTTTTCGCCGGAAGGTTGGACCGCGCCGGCGTTTCGCCAGAGCTGTTGACGATTTTCTAACCGATATGTATTTATTGCTTTTCGTCAAACCTCCAATTCATCAGGGTCGCAGAATTACATAAGCAGTTCGGGGAAGGGCATCTCTCTGAGGGGACTCGCACTGGTAGACGTGGTTTGCCAGTCTCTCTCCCATTCCTGCACAAAGTGCGGTCTAATGTGATTGCAGCCAGAGATATGTATCTTTGCAGAAATAGCGAAAGCGTCGATAGAGAAAAGCGATAGCGAGTTGCTCTGGCTTGGAGGAAGACAGAAGAATTACCCGTCCAGCAAAGAGTGGTCATGGGCAGATGGCAAAGCTTTCAGCTACACAAATTGGGATTCGGACGAACCCAACGATGTGGACAACAATGAACAATGCTTAGAGGTACTCATCATTTGCTCCACATTACAGTAAACTTATCCTTTTTTCCTCGAAAAACTGGCGCAGTTTCTACACTGCGAAATGGGCAACAGTTTACAACTTCTGCAACAAGGAACTGTGTGCTATTGACGCTCAAAGTATTACGAAGGATCTAAACGGAAGGATTCTTCAAGGAGGGGACAGGGATTATCCAGCAAAAACTTGGTGCCGGAAGTGTTCAACGGTCAGGGACGGCCCCCTACACTTAAAGACAGGCCCCGCGCTCAAGTAATACA